TTCAGGAAACAGTCCTCCATAAAATGCGTCACACAGCGTCACACACTGCGGGCTAGAGTGAGGAACGGCCGGCGGGCTTGCGGCAACCACGTGATGACCCCGGGCTGGACTCTGCTTTGTTCACGGTGAAAGCCGTGTATTAATTTTGTATTAATTTGTCTGTATAATGAGTGTGTTGTTGGTCAGAGTTTTATTAGTTGTTTTCTCCCCTCTTCGCACCTTCTACACTCCCATTTTTCCACAGTTTTACACGCCCATTTCTGGAGTCTTTCTCAGATCTAAGGTGTTAACGACCAGTGCTGAAACGGGGGTTTCATGATACTTTAAGTTTGAATGTAATGTCTGTAGGTGTCACCCCAAGAGCTTGTAACACGCCAAAGAGAAAGGAAAAAATGAAATTGCATCATATGACCCCTTTAATTGATGGTCATTGTTCATGCTAATCAGTACCTGGGTTAAGTGTGAATGTGATGTCTGTAGGTGTGACCTTCCCTGATCTCTGTGATAATGAGTGTTATAGTTATGCTGATTGGATTAGAGTTGGTGAAAATCTGGGCAAATACATCCTTTGCATCCTTTACTAATGACTGCCTCCTGAAATCATTATAAAACTACATTGATTGTCTGCTTTAGTCAGTCTTGATGACTGCAGCACCACACATTACCATCTCAATCAAGAACCTGCTGAAGAGTCACTCAAGTCTCCTGGGCCTGTATTCTTAAATATTTTAAGAATCCTCTCAGAGAGCTCCTAATGTATCTTAAAAATTTCTAACTAGGAGTGATTCAGGATCAATCTGAGAGCAACTCTGAGCGAGAAAAAGCCAAAAACTTTTATCTTAGTGAGGAGGTGGGGCTGACCCCGTTGCTAGCTATGACACAGTCTTTTGAAGACTGATTGGTTGGTTGTCCAAGAAGGAAATAAAAGAGCGCTTTTAAGAGTAGGGTCTATTATAAGCCTTCACTTAGAAATTACAGGCGTAATTTTTCCTGTTTTACCGTTCTCTCTCTCACACACACACATTATATATGTATATATATATTCCTTATTTTTTATTTACCATGCTGTCATACTTAACCCATTTTATAGGAAATGAACAGCGACACAATAAGGATCTGAAAGTGCTGTAATTGTTTGTGTGATCACTTTGCTTATAGAAGGTTGTGACAGACCCAAGTCATCACTGCTGCATAGTTGTATTTTTCCAGTTGCCAAATATGTTAATGTAGTTAATGTAGTGATCACTTCCATTTCTGGCGCTATGGCATTTCTGCGCGGTGTCTGAGATGTTAGCGTGTCTCTAATAAGATTGATCACAAACATGATCTCTGCACGATCTAATGTGTAGCGTCTTATTAACTCACTGTCATGCATTGTGTGCAACACATTTCTTATCCCTCTTCATGTTTTGTCCATTTTCTCCACTGCTAAAGAAACTCTTAAAGGAACACGCCACTATTTTTGAAAATAGGCTCATTTTCCAACTCCCCCAGAGTTAAACAGTTGAGTTTTACCATTTTTCGAATCCATTCAACCAATCTCCGGGTCTGGCGGTAGCACTTTTAGCTGTAGCTTAGCATAGATCATTGAATCTGATTAGACCGTTAGCATCTCGCTCAAAAATGACCAAAGAGTTTCTATATTTTTCCTATTTAAAACTTGACTCTTTTGTAGTTACATCGTGTACTAAGACCGACGGAAAATGAAAAGTTGCGATTTTCTAGGCCGATATGGCTAGGAACTATACTCTCATTCCAGCGTAATAATCAAGGAACTTTACTGCCGTACCATGGGTGCAGCAGGCTCAATGATGTTACGCAGTTCTTAACTTAAGGAATCTGTGATTCATCTCTTACAGATCCACGTGACACTATTATAAAGATGGCGTTTATTAAAGAGGAGAGTGAAGACATAAAGATTGAAGAAACATTCAGAGTCAAACATGAAGATACGGAGGAACAAACAATGATGGAGTTTATTAAAGAGGAGAGTGAAGACATAAAGATTGAAGAAGCATTCAGAGTCAAACATGAAGATACTGAGGAACAAACAGGTTGGTTTTCATTCTTAAATCTGAACTCACTCATTTGATCCTTATTAAAATGTCCAGCTCTACAGAAAGGAATGATATTTTAGAAGAATGTCATATGAGTTTTGTAATTAAAAATGTTTTATTTGACATGGAACGGGTTGCCTCATGTGGACAGACATGTTGTGGTCACATGACCCATTACCTCGAAAATGAGCACTGAAACATACGCAACTAAGGTTATACAATAAACTTTGCTAGTTTTTTATCATCACTTCAAATAATGGGAAGAGGTTTTGAGATTACATTAAACATTTCCTTTAATAGCTTAGTGTTTATTAGAACTACATGTTGGGTTTAATGTTTGTTCTTTGTGCCATTAAAAATGGTGTTAATTTGGATTTGTCTTTTTTGCATTAGACCTGATGACACTGAAAGAGGAGAGTCAAGAACTCATTGAAAAGGAAGATAATTTTCAGCATGAGAAATATAATTTCAAAAGAGCTCAAAAGACAGCAAATAGAAGTTATTTCACCTGCCAACAGTGCGGGAAAAGTTTCACCAGAAAAGAAAATCTTGAAGTCCACATGAGAGTTCACAGTGGAGAGAAACTTCACACATGTTCTCAATGCGGAAAAAGTTTTTCATATAAACAACACCTCGATGACCACTTGAGAATTCATACTGGAGAGAAACCTTTCACCTGCCCTCAGTGCGGAAAGAGTTTCACTCAAAAAGGACACCTTAAAAACCACATGAGAGTTCACACTGGAGTGAAGCCTTTCACCTGCAAACTGTGTGGAAAGAGCTTAATTCGAAAATCAAACCTTAACAACCACATGAGAATTCACAGCGGAGAGAAACCTTTCATATGTTCTCAATGTGGAAAAAGTTTTACACAAAAACAACACCTCGATGACCACTTGAGAATTCACACTGGAGAGAAACCTTTCACCTGCCCTCAGTGTGGAAAGAGTTTCATACAAAAAGGAAACCTTAATAAACACATGAAGATTCACACTGGAGAGAAGCCATTCACATGTGATGGACGTAAGGTTGCTCTTTAACGTGTACGATCACAACAGTGATTCGTGTTCAGTGTGTCATGTGATTAAATTCAAATATGCTTTAATTCAAATATGCTTTCGTGCTTTGGCTGGTGCTGAGCTAGAGATGGACGAGCTTAGCGCTTCTCATATCCCTTACGAAAATTAACCATGGTTTTACTATAGTAAAACTGAAGTAACTATGATTGTAGTAAGTGTATTTTCTATGTATGATGAGTATACAGAAAAATGTATGATAGATGGTTTCAATTGTACTACAAGTGGTAAATAAATACATTTTATTTATTTATTTATTTTATTTTTTTACAGAGAAAGTATGTTAAAAGCACATTAGTTCATATTCATGGTGTCCCAAAATATCACAGTTGAGTACACTTAGATGTTCTAAAGATTATCTTAAGAAGTACTAAAGAATAATTTTTAGCATATTAACTACAAAATTAATGCCAAGCGGCAACATCCTGCTCTCTCTCGTGAAGCCAACACGGAAGTGACTTGAACTGTAATTCGTCAACTGGCCGCTAGAGGCTGGCTGCAAAAGGGAGTCAAACCCATAGACTCCCCATGTTAAAATGCCCAACTTTACAGCAGAAAAAAAACATGTTTACAGCCTGGTTCAAAACATTATTTTGGTCTATATAGCGAATTTTGCCCTTCATGACAACTGTGAGGGGGGTGAATTTTTTTATAACTCATCCGTTTAAATTATATCAAGCCTTTAAGTTCTGCATAATTAAGGGCGTGGCCACTTGAGTGACAGGTGGATTGCCGCTGCTGACATTGCCGTCGAGCTAGGTGGGCGTGGTTTCAGCAACCTGCTCCCGCCTCTTTGCCCATTTTCGATCATCCGTGAGTGACGCACTGCCAAGATGGCGACGGCCGCCTCCGCCCACTTTGAGCTTCAAAAACCCTCTTTGGAAACCTACGTGTGACGTCACGGACACTACGTTCATGTTTTTATACAGTCTATGATTAATGCACAAAAATAGAGCACTTTAAGTACATTATGGAAGTGTACTGAAATGAATTTTACTGCACTTTTTTTTTTTCAGCTTGGAGCTGAGGTTGAAAGTGATAGAAAAAAAATCCCTCCGTGCTGCATCGCTTTCTTTTCCTCATTTTTGTTTACTTATTTGACAAGTACAATGCATGGTAATGGACATTAGTATGAAATGCAAATGTAAACAAGCCAGATTATGCCAATATTGCTACTTTACATCCGCAGTCCCTAGGCAGGTACACACAAAAGCCCTATTCGCACGGGATTAGTATTATCTGGGGACCTTGTGTGATTTTGAAATTACCCCCCCACATCTGAATTTCGTGTGGTGCATTCGCACGGGATAAGCGAAGCCTGTGATTTTACTCGAATTTACCGACTTCTCTACCGGATGCCCGGATGTCAAGGCTTTGAGAGTCCCGTTCTATGGTCCGGTTAGATGGATTTAAAAAAAAAAAAAAAAACTAATATAGTTTCGTGCGCAGTGTCATTTACATTTCACCAGGTTAAAATAATGTCTCAAGCTTTATGCTTGATTTGTAACACGTTAACCTCAAAACCTTTTCAGCTTTTTCTTTCTGCAAATTGTATGGTGTAGCGATATGATGACAGCACCCAAAATACTATCAAAGTCTCCAACGCAGCTCCATTCTTTGCGAAAGATGGATAAAAAGGCGCACAGGAAACAAAAACCACGAAAAATGATATACGACCCGCCAAATGCTGGCCGAATCACAGAGATGCCGATTCGCACAGGACTAATATTATTATTACAGGACCTCGGTGTTCGGCAAAATATGGTAGGTCATTTGCGGGGGAATTTTTACTTTACAAATTACAGACATGGCCGATTCACACGGGATTAAGATCACAGACAACCTCCGCAATTATTACAAATGACTGGAGGTCACCAGGTAATACTAATCCCGTGCTAATAGGGCTAAAGACAGATACTCACACACACATACAACACAACATAAAAGACATATATCCCAAACACATTATTTAAATTGTCAAAATATAATGTTCACACAACTAATTCATCATAATCCACTTTTTAAGATATTTAAAATTATGATAAATAGAACATTGTCTTATTGAATGCAGTAATCTATTCAAATATCTCCTCCCTATTACAGACAATACTTGCTGTCTAAAAGATATTTGCCTATACATCTTTTTACAGTATGTAATATAACTCTCAGGTGTCCCCAGAATGTGTCTGTGAAGTTTCAGCTCAAAATACCCCACAGATAATTTATTATATCATTTTGAAAATGCCTATTTTAAGTGGAAGCAGAAACATGCTGTATCAGCATAATATACAGTACCTATACTGATGTCTAGTATGTCTGATGTCTGGCCGAGCGTCCTCTGAAAGCATTTCAGCGGGGGAGAGTGCCCTAACTTGAAGACTGCGAGAGAGCTGATTAGTTTTTATGAGCGCTCCTCCGACAGACACGGTCGCATATCGATTGAATTCAGCTCCACTCCTAAAAAGGAGATGTTCTGGCTCGGTACCAGCATGCTCTTTTGCATATTCACAGTCAGCCCTAAGCTCTGAAGATGAGCGAGGAGTCTGTGCTTGTCGGTGAGCAGCGCGCTCTCTGATTGGGCTAAAACTAGCCAATCGTTGAGATAGTTCAGGATGCGCATTCCGCTCTGCTTCAGAGGAGAGAGAGCGGCATCCATGCATTTCGTAAATGTACAAGGGGCCAGGGATAAACCGAAGGGTAGGACCGTGAATTGGTACGCTATCCCCTCAAATGTAAATCTCAGGAAACGCCTGTGGTGAGGGGCTACCTGAATGTTAAAATAAGCATCCTTTAAATTCACAGTAAATCTCAGGAAACGCCTGTGGCGAGGGGCTACCTGAATGTGAAAATAAGCATCCTTTAAATCCACAGAGATAAACCAATCTCTCGGTCTGATGTGTGAGAGGATTTGTCTCACGATTTTTCCAAGATTGGGTGGAGTCCGCCATCTTTGGTACCAGAAAATAGCGACTGTAGAAGCCGCTCTCGCTGTCTGCTAGGGGCACTGTCTTTACAGCGCATTTTGCGAGGAGGTTGTGTATTTCCTCTCGCAGAACTGAGGCATTCCGCTCCCATGCTCCCCTGCGGAAGAACTGAAGCATGTAGCCGTTTTTTATTGATTTCATAACCCACTCTGATACCCCTGGCAGTGCCTGCCACACTTCTGTGAACTGTGACAGCGAGGCGGACTGCACACGAGTGTGAGAGTGAGTGATGGGGGAGAGGGGAGTGAGAGGAGGAGAATTGCTTTGCTATTGAGGTGAGTTTTGTATGTTTTTCGACTTTATTGCACTGCATAGTGGAACAGTCAAAACACAAACATGACAATTGCTCTCGCCGCCCGCAACAGGCAGGGGGGCTTGGTGAACACACACAGCGGAGCGAGCAGACTTTTTCAGTGGCTCGTCTTCGGCGCTGGGTGCCGATTTCCTCCTCCGAGAGACAGCATCAGAGTAAGCCACAGGTGACAATCTAGCACCACAAGATTCCCCATGTTGCGGCCGATCATTCGAGCTGTCACCTTCATCGCTCTGAGGGCCAGATCCGTGGCGCGTCAGAGCTCTTTGAACACTTCAGGGTCTGGCGTCCTCATCCAAAGACTTGAGCAGCTTGGCCTGATACACCTGGAGTATCGCCATCACGTGCAGTGCTGAAGCTGCTTGGCCCGCCACGGAGAAAGCCTTGTCGGCGAAGTTTGCAGTGGTGCGACAAGGTTTAGAGGGGAGAGACGAGTTGTTTCTCACTCTCCAGTTCGCCGTGGCCGAAGGACAGAGATGGGCAGCGACGACTTCTTCCATGGGGTGGGGGGAGTTTAACATACCCCACTTGGATCCCGGGTTGTGCACTCGACTGGTGAGCGGTGCGTTCCACGACTTCGTTATCTCATCGTGCACCTCGGGGAAAAAGAGGCCGGGCCTCCACGGGGATGGAGGTCCCCCGCGTCGCTGCTATGGGGCGCAGTGTAATCCAGCGGGCTGTTAGACCACTCCTCTCTCGCAGAACACAGCAGGGGAAGAGAAGGCGTGTCTGCTGCAGCGTGTAGATCACGTTGAGTAGTCTTGTTGATAGGCTTCTTGCTTACATACAAGCGCTGCTTTATATAGAGTGGGAGCCCCTCATATTTCGTGCGCTTGAACGCCATTGGCCAGTTTCACTGGCGTGATTCAATAAGGCTTCAGTAGTATTTGGAGGAAAGGGTAATTCCCATAGCAATGTAGAGTGACCGAATCAAAAGGGAACAGCGCTGTGGCTTTGTTTGGAATTATTTTTGTTGGCGAAATAGTGCAAAAACAGGCAATATGGTGTCTCTTAATAAAACTTCTAGTTTATTGAACTGTTGTCAATATCACATTCATATATGGTAATTTTTGGAGAAAAAATGCACTCTTCCGTGTGAAATTGATTAACTATATGAAGTGGTATAAATATACACATTTTCTGCCCCCTTGTCTTGAATTTGGGATAATTCTAAATGTATTTTAATAGACTGAATCATGCAGTGAAAGAGCACACTCTAAATGCACATGTGCACTAGACTTCACGTAATGCGTGCACTCTGTAGGTGTTTGGAATGTTTTTTTGCGTTGTGAGAATATTGAGCAAAATAGCTCACTTGTCATGGTGTAACTTAGCTATATCATGTTATGAATAAACTAAACATTTTGAATTTTTACCTCAGTGTGTTTCTTCTGAGTTTGTGTGCTGTCACGCTCATTTGTTCTGAAGTCTCTCAACAGACAAACAGAGTGAGCCTTGTATTCTGCTAACTTACTGCAATTCTCTCTGACGACGCAGTAACTTAAAGAAAAAATCTTCGGTCTGTCCAATGATTGGGGTTGCCAGGTTTTCACAACAAAACCTGCCCAATTGCTACTCAAAACTAGCCTAATCACATTTCGAAGGGGATCCCCGGTAAAAATCCCATTCCAGTGAGGTAAAATACAAATTTTTGGTGGGGTTCCCCTGGTAAAATTCGCATTTTAGGGGCTAAATATCACGTTATTGGGGTCGCTTAAACCCGCTGACATGAAAAACAACCCGCGGCAACAGTGATAAAATAGCTCAATTCCGCTGGGAAAACT